ATTCAGCGCGCAGTTAAAATGACTTTTATTAGTTATATTATTATGATGTAAATATACACATATGCCATAGAATAGTCAAAGGAATTCGTTGTTTTTGTTGACAATAAAAGATATATATCAAATATATTTTGTACTTACCTCTTAAGCTTTCTTGTTGCTTTTAAAATAGTGCGATGAGTTGATATATTATTTTCTTAATAAAATATTTTAATTTAATAAGCTGAAATAAGCATCAAGAAAAACTTGAAATTTCTGACTGAAAATCTGTTGAATTTACAGCCAGAATCTAATTGCGTTACAGAATAAAAAAGTTATAAAATTTTACTTCTTCATACAAATCATTAAAGATTCTTTATAAAAATTAATTCCCATATCAATCTTAATTTCAAGAAAATGTCAAGAAAATGTCTTTTCATAAATAGCGATTAGAATTTGTATCAAAATACTTTCACTTATATTGATCTATCAATCATTAAAAATATTTAATACAACATGCTAATAAGCATTTGACATGCAATTCGCCAATAATAATAAATCAATATATATTACACTTTCCTATTGTAAATAATTCTTTTTTTAACACTTTTTCACTGAGCTATCAAATTCTTATGTAGCTATAAACTATGTGACAAATACAATTCATGAGCTTACGGATACTCCTGCCAGCATAAACAACCCATCGAACAAACAACCCGAAAAAAAACAATACTATCGGATTGTAGTAGAAACACTTTAACACGATTTTCATGGCATGAATGTACAATAACACGATTGTTATGCCGACAGTTTCATCCTGCTCAACACAGGTTTGTAAAGTACTTGTCCTTTTATTACAAAGTGACTTGGATCCGCATATCGAAACGCGAGGCATAGGGGGACTCTCTGGAGGATTTACTCTTTTATGTATATAATTATTTATATCATCAATTATAATGAATATATAGTTATGTACAATATTGAATCTCATTCTTTAACAATAACATCAACAACATGATTAAACAACGTTCCTCATTGGTACACAAATTGTAAATGTACAGATAAAAAAGCATTAGATGAGGTCAATGAGGTGGCGTACGCTCAGCGCGCCATTAATTCCCTCTTCTTTTTTTTATATTTTTTTAAATCCCCATATATATATATACTTATATCTTGAACCACTGCGGGTTCTTTATTCGATTTTTCATGAGCTTATATTTATATATATATATATATATGTATATATATGTATATACTTTAAAGTATATACTTCGTTTAAAGATACACACGTTTCCACATACACACAAATGCGTCAGATTTGCTCCGCGCGACACAACGAGAACATGATAGTTGATGATATCGACTGAATCGGTGCGTGATTTAATTCTTAAAGAGAGTGCATGAGTAATTTGTGACGCGCGATTGGCCAGCCATAAGTCTCTTGCATAATTTGCACAAATTTGCCGAATAATATATCATTTTTAAATAATATATCGCAAGGACTACCGTAATTGTTTTGTGCAACAATTCATAATTTTTTTTATATGCGCCAAAGAGACATAATAAACTACGAAAACGTTACCAGTAAATTAACAGGCACTGTCGCCTTTTTAATTTGTCATCTTGTTTAACTTGGCTCGCCCCGCGCGGCACAAATCTCGACCAATCATCTAAAATCCTACACAAGGCTCCGACGAGTTTTCTTTTTTTGTCGCTTGATAAACGACTTCCACATAATCTAACGCACGAATTTGTATTATTTTCGTATAGAATCGCATCAAGGCGAGACAGAGTCGCAGAAACTTTTTCCGGCGCTCAAAACGCGAAGGACTTGCTTGCATTCTCATGGTTCACCGATAGATATTTCTTCGCCAGAAACTCGTAAAAAAAAAAACACTAGAGAGACTAGTCAATCGAGATTTTTGTCTTACAGCTTCTTCCTAGCCGTCTTTTTATTTACTGTTAGTTCATTACTCCGAGGCACCGATTATTATGGTACTTTCAATGAAGAAAACAATGAATTTATAACAATGAAAAAATTTAAATCAATTCTATAATTCCTTCGATAATTAATATATGAACAGAAAGTTTCTCAAAGATTTGAAAATCAGAAAACGCAAAATTTTTGTAATAAAGTTGTAAATTTCTGTTAAAATTTTGTAAAACTTTAAAAAAAATTATTATCCAATTTTAAATAAGGAAATTTTAATTACGAATTTTAATTTATTTATAATGTGTTAAAAATTATCTTTGAAGCAGTTTGAAATTTAAACACTTAATATTTAAATATATATATATCATCAACATTTTTTTATATGTGAAATTTAGTTTAAGAAATTACAAAAGTTGAAGGATATTTCTCTTCTAATTTTTATTCTCTTATGCACATTATGTACTTGGTATTATATAATCACCAAAATTTTGCTGTCAAATAGCAATAAGTGTCCAAGAAAATTACTTTTTATTTATTTTCAAAATTTTTTAAATACAAATAAAATATACAAATAAAAATATATTAACGAATTCTCTAGTCTCTTTTTTTCTCTTATGAACTCTTTCTTGTGCTCCCGCCTCGTATTACGGGGTTGAACATTCTAATTTCGAATTATGTCAAATCTCAATTTAACGGCTGGGGAAAAGAAGAAAGACAAGCAGGGACGCACGGAATTTGATCGCTGCAAAAATACAATGTTTATGCAAATATAGTTCCACATAATCAGAATTAGTTTATATTGAAAACGTAATCTTGCAATCGTCATCTTTCAATGTCACGATGTTTAAGACGAATTTCATAATTCCAAATAAACTTAAAATATTTTTAACACTATAAAAGATTAAACATTTTGTACCAAGAATACATGTATATGGTATACTTTGTGATCGACTTGATTACAAAAATATTTATTTTATATAGACAAATCATTTCATAAAAGAGAAAATCGAAAACATTTAATTACAAATTGAATTGAATTAACCAATGAAATTATAGCTGTCGTATAAGGATCTAACAACGAATTTACAACATCTTCTTTAACACACACTTTAAATTTGCTATATAAAATTTTATGTTTTTTTAATCAAATAATTTCTTATCCAATAAGTTTTATACGAAACATCGAAACTTCGAAATTTTCTAGCTGTTACTCGTATTCCAGCGATTTGTTTTACAACTACAGTCTATAAAAAAGTTGAATATCAACTGTGCAAATAAAAAAAACTAAAAAACATTTCGTTTGACGAAAATGCACACGTTTCAAAAATAGTTTTGCACCATTCTATAAATGTCTAAATCATACATGTAACCATCCTTTAAATTTTTTAATCGAGAAGATAATCCATCAAATTGATTAATGGCAAAAATTTATCATTCCTTCTATCTCAATACATACGTAACAGGTGGTGCAAAACTATATTTGGTTTGTGCTGACAATGAAATATTTTCACAACGTAGCTTTATACAATCCGGCGGCGGAAGTCAAATATATACGAGATGGGATACCTTTTTCACGCGAACCGCGAGATTTTTAAGACCCTGCGTGAACAACAATTCTCGGGCTAGTTGCACCGACATCATCCGGCGTTGAAAGCGATTAATTAAATTTTCCTTATATGTATTATACGAGTGTTTCGTAACTTTTATTATATTTAAACTTTTCTTGTTTGTACGCGTTATCAGTGCCTGCTTCTGCAGAGGAACGATAACTTGCTAATCGGAAGTTAGTCTATCCGGACTGTCAGTGCAGCTCAGTCCTATGCGACCGGCGCTATGTGTCCTTTGTACTTGGCAGGGTGCGTGTCCACTCGCGCGCCTCGCCTTGTTTATCCGTTTTTCTTTTTTTTCTCTTTTTTGACGCACTCGAGCTATACATAGAAAGTTATGTACAACGATATTAACATGAACTGCAGTGGCAGTGAACAGTGCACGTGGATATTGCAAACAGCAGCAGCAGCAGCAGCAACAGCAGCAGCAGTAGCAGCGGGGGCGGCGGCGGCAGCGATGACGACGACGACGAAAACGACGACGACGACGACACGACGACGACGACGACGACGATGACGACAATTATACAAGGTGTATGCGTAATACGAAACACGGCAGCGACTACCACAACTAGTTTGTTAATCTGTCTGCTTCGCAATTTTCCTTTTCTCTCTCTCTCTCTCTCTCTTTCTCTCTCTCTCTCACTCTCTTCGTACTACTTGCTACTCCTCAGTTTATGGACTTCCGGTCTGCGATCCTGTGATGATCGAAGCGCGAAATCGATGTTTCGTAGCGGCTGACACATGTCGTGTGTTTATCATTAACACGAATTTTTTTTCTTTTTTCGTTTATCGCTTTTCCAGATTCTATGTGCCACTTCCTTTTCCAAAGAACAGTCCCACTATCTGCGCAAACTCCGATCTAATTTTCAGCTTGCATGTATGTGCGTGTGTGAACATATTTTACATGTATGTATACATTTACATATACATATATATGTAGAGAGAGAGAGAGAGAAAGAGAGAGAATGAAAGAAAGAGAAAGATGTTTGTATATGTTATGTAAGTATATGTATGTGACTCGAATTGTGAATTAGATTCGTATTTGTGTGATTGCGCATACGTCATAATATCATCTATTCTCGTAGATGTGTGATTACATGTGCGTGTTTCTTTTCGTGTATGAGCGAAAGGGACCATGTTGCACGCGCGCACACGTTATGTACGCACAACAAGAAAAAGGAAGATAGAGAGAAAATGTACAAAATCAAAGAAAAGTAAAATGATTATACTTATGTTCGTGTATGAAAGGAGAGAGTATTTGTGTATAAGTGTGTATCCGTGTATTTCTTTTACACATATGTATATTTTTCCTCCTTTTTTTTTTATATATATATGTACGTCCGTATATATACACACGTGAGTTTCACAAAAATATATAAAAGAGAGAATATCTATGTGTATACATATATATATATGTGCATATATACCTATAATGTATATATACCGATATATAGACGATTTATACTTAAATTTGTGTGGAAAAGGGTATTTTATCGTAATTTATCTATATGTATATATGTATACATGTATATACATATATATATAGAGCCTGTAGAAAGTGCTTGATTGAGATTTTCTTTCGGTTTCATTAGTCGTAAAACAAGACACACGAGGTAAGGATTGTGTGTAGTCCGGCACCGTCCACGAGAGTCCGACGCGAGATCGGGATGAGAAGAGTCTCTCGATGAGGGAACATCGACGAACGTGTCCAGTTCGCTGCACTTCTCCGCCTCTTCCCGTCGTCTCGTCGCCCTCTCACAGCACGTTGAACGACGGTGTTCTCTGGATTACGTATTATATACATTAACATGTGTGCCGGAGAATAAAGAAACCGGAGATTTTACTGTGACGGCGATTGTTTTTCCGTTCCACCGCGCAGGATACTGCAATTCCACAGCGCTCGTTAAGCCACGTGCTAGAACTTTAAGCTATGTGTCCTTTCCCGCGTTCACTTTCCTCCTTTCCAGCCACAAAGGATTAAGGAGGCTTAATAACACAGTGTTTTACGTTTTGCGAAATGTCTAATTCAGTCCTTATAGCATCGTCTTCGAGCGAATATGATTTGCTCGAATAAAGAAAGAGAGATGTGTAGCTACCCTCGGACCGCACAGCATCATGCCATTTTCCGTTGCCCCTTCCATTGTCCTCCTCTTCTCGCATCATCCTCTTCATCCTTCTCGCATCTCTTTGATAACTTGTTCATTAGGCTTTTTTTTCCGAGTCCTCGTTCTGACGATCGAGCATCACTCTCGAGATATTCGACGACTCGATGAAAACGATTTCCATGCGGGGCGAACGAGATAAGACTTTTTAGGTGATTGAATTGGCGAATAAGCGTTACGTTTGCTATGCACTGTCGCTGTATGTATCGGTCAATCGAAGAAATGGACATGGTTGCAATCCGCCTTGTGAACAATAACTCGCGATAAACTCGTTGATAATGCGCGATATCATGAGATAGTGGCGTTCGTTGACGAAGACAGGACAGTTGTAGGGACGACGGACTGCACGATGGTTTCTAATGCATGATTAGATGTAAGAATATGGTCCATCGGTGAGGGCGCTACACAGCAACAATCAGGAGGAGTCGTCCTTGCCTCGGGCACCTCTGCTCGGCCTGTATTCGAGACCCGGATCGAATTGCATCAGCACGAAAACCTGGCAAGTTAGAAGTAAACGACTCAGTAAAGCGATTTGAATTGCTTATAAATTGACAAAATTAAAAATAAGCAATTAACAAGATATTAATCCTCGGCCAACCAAATTAATTTTTACTGTTATTAATAAAATTTTATTCGTGCTGTTACTAATAAAATCATGCTAATAAAATTTGTTATGAATCTTAAAATTCTATAATACGTAATGAAATTATCTGAGATGTGATACCTGATCCGTAGGTAATAATGTAAAGTCATCGGGTGGATTTGTGATCACGTATCGCTTGGAAGAGGCGTCGCACGACGAGCTAGTGTCTCGAAACCTAGAAGATTCGAGTAAATGTTAGCAAATAAGAAGAAAGATAGTAGTGAAGAACACGAGCTTGACTTTACACCAAGTGTAACTGAACTAATCAGAGTTGAGCTAAGTTAAGCTAAACTAAAATAAACTAAGCTAAACTAAATTAAACATATGTGGACCGTATGACGGACAACTAAATGCTAAATAAACAACAAGATGACATAAAGATAGAAAGACAAAGATAGAGAGAGAGAGAGAGAGAGAGAGAGAGAGAGAAACAGAGAAAAAGTAGTAAAAAATGATAGGTATTTTTTGGATGAGGGCAACTTACAACTCGTTGCTTTTCATTACTTTCTTTTTCATGATGCAAAAACGCAAAGTGTAAAAGGTGTGCGGCAGAAAATCATAAGTCACATAGTAAGTACGTGAATAGAAGTAATAAACGGCGGTACAATAATGGCAGCAATCGGAGTAGTCGCTGTTTTTGAACGGTAATATATACAATGTATAGAAATATATGTGCGTAGGGTAATCCAATAAATACCATCGAGAGAGGGAAAAAAGTCCGGTACCTGTACCTGTACAGACCAATGCACAGCATTCCGTACGACTTTAATGCTGCGACAAAGAGGTCACCGTACTTGCCTCCCTCGCCATATTGAGCCAATGGCCCGTCATACAACGCGATCTGACCAACACGACACCGATCCCTATTAGCCAGACTATCTGCCGTACTGTGAATCAGATAAAAATGTCACATTTATTATTGTGTAAAAATTCTCCCGATTAACCAACTGGATATTACATGGCATAGATGTTATTAAGATCTTACCTGTACCCTCCCCTTAAGCCTGCTCCTTCAGCCAGGATCAATTCCAACTCAGGCGTAGCTCCACCGGTGATCAGTGACCGAATTAGAGTTAGCGCATTTTGGTTGAAATATGTCTGCAGAAATACGTAATATTATAACTTTCGTCATAACTTCCCATACAGCACAGATCATTCCAGCAACATTGTAACATTTCAGAAATGTTACAGTAATATTACAGTAATGTTGCAACAATATTGTTGCAAGCTTATATGTGCTGTATGGATAGAGTATCAAGAAACGAGGATGTGACATGAAGCTAATAAACTATAATGAACGCGAATAAATGAGTGTATGAAGTGTATTATTGATTGATATACAGTCCAAAGATTTAATTTAATACTGACCGTCGACATAAGAGAATCCAATACACTGACTGCGAAGGCAGTACCACAGGCGAACGGTTGAGTGAGGTAGAGTTCTGTGTCCGGGTCATCGTCGTCGTCCTGGTCAAGGAATTGCACATTGCTGTCATTCACAAGCTCTGGAATAGCAATGAAATAATCATGAGTAGAAATAAATAGTTATTTTCAATATTCAGCACAAAAGATATCTTTAGACTTTAATTAAGAAATATTACAAAATAATAACATCTTTGGAAAAAACTATTTCCTTTAATACTATAATTAAAATGTCTAATTAATTATAATGATGTTTAGGAATCTTCATTTTTATTCTGATAATATTGAGCACGTAGAAATGTAATAAGTAATTCTAACGATTTGATGGAATCTTTTTCGTTACCTGTGATCATTGGCACATTTGCTCCATAAACAGATCCCCGTCTTTGCAAGACAATCGGGCTGCCAACTGCGATCAAATTGACTTATTCATTATCTGCTGTAATTTGCACTTTCGATTTAATAGCATGGTTTTAACGGAGAAATGAGGTCTCCGCTTTCCGAACGGTAATAGTGATATCATACCTTGGCTAAGCACGCCGATTGTATCATCGAAAGTCATGGCCTTGATATTGAGGGATGCGAGGATGGCCTCCTTGTCGGCGAGGGTGGGGTCATCATTGCTAGGCACTTTAGCCGACAGGATGCAACACATGTCGCATAAATTCACGTTAACGGCACGCAAATCGGCTCTACTTAATGGTGAACCCTGCAAAATGTCATTCAAGTAAAATAAAAGCTGCAGAAAAAAAATTTCTGCCGCGAAATTATTTTTCATTGTCTTCTTTTTATGTTAGCGATCAATTCGTATCGCAAACGATTTTCTTGACTTTCATTAAATTTTCTGTCAATGTATGGATATCTGACAATGAATATCCATATCAAAATTTTAATAGAATTTTTATATTTTTTTGTGCGAATTTCATTATACAATACTTCAACTATTCTACTGTTCAAACAACAAAGAAGAATTTTGCACAGATCTCGATATATCATGTTTATTTTCACATTTTATGCAAAACTTGGGAACTTTGTAAAAAACGGTAATTAAAGATAAAAAATTATGTATTGACAGAAGGGTTAGTTGTTTCATGTTTAACTTTAGTAATTAGACACAAAAATCTTTGTTAACATGTATCTGGAATATTAATATACAATAATGTATACATCATATTATTATACACATAATATATAATAATATAAGGTATACACAATATCTCTCTCTCTCAGAGATTTATCATATACTTTTTTAAATCAATAGATATGAAAAATATACAACTATATTTAAATATATATTCTTTGTAATTTCTTCTCTCAAAGCATTAATAAAACAAAATCTAAAATATAAAAAAAGTTATTTTATATCTATTATACATATATTAGAATAAATTAAAATTAGAGCAACTCGTCAAATTTCAGAACACAACAAATTTTCATGTAATTATCTGGTCTTTTTAATTTTTGATTCTATTGTTTAAGTGACTAATGAAAATAATAGATACGTTACAAATTTGTTACAAATAATAATTTTTAATTACACTCTTGATTAAAAAGATTTACTCTAAGTTCGTTAAAAAATCTAGAGCCAGATAAAGAACAAATATTCTATTGTAAAAATCCAAGACGTTCTGTACTATACGATAAAATATTTACATCGCGCAAGATAATGCTACGATTCAACGAAACGAGAACAGCCTTCTCACATTTAGAACCGATATCTTCGGTAGATTTTGCAGCATTTTCCACTCGCGGCGTATGTAGTCCACCGATCCAACTATCACTACGTGTTTAAGCTCGTGGTAATGAAAATTGGAAGCTCGTAATGGCATGACAAGGTTCCTCAGTCCGATGAGGGGCGAGTCGGGATCGGCGAACAGGCAGACGACAACATGTCCGTTAAGAACTGTCATCGCCGCCTGATTACGATCCAGTATGCAGTCTTCGAGATTACGGGAGGGGCTCCAATGGAACATCCCCGTTGAGTCGTATTTCATCTCGGTCTTCTCGAAATCAAAATCTTTCGCTTGATCGTCAGCGATCCCGACCTGAAGACCACCGTTGTTGTTAACGTTTGTGCCACCCGAGGCTCTACTCGTTGGCCTGAAAAAAATCGCACATTACGATTAAACAAACGAAATTATAGGTATAACACGTACATCGTCAATGGTATTATAGACAGAATAACGGTAACAATAATAATCTTACACTTATCCGTACAAAATTGTGAATGGAATCACTCTCGAAATTTCTGTTCAAGCTTTTATGAAATCGATTAAAACCGTAAAGACACACTTTCGCATGCATTTCATTCACATTGTATTATTTTTCATTATCTAGCGCTACTAGTGTTGTTACTTTATATCTTAGGGCGAATGGAAATTGAATAATAAATTACTTGAATGCAGCAAATATTAAAGAAAGATATAGAATTTTTCGGAGTTATTGAGCTTTCATATGTCATGCTTATAAATACAATTTTTAAATGATAAAGGTTTAAGAAATGTCTCTATAAAATTCACAATTTTCACAGGATTTGTTAAAAAGTTACAAAGTCGCAATTTACTGCGCATCTATTTAGATATATGTTGCGCGATTTTTGTATCTTTTGCGCAATTAATTCAACTCCGCGATTGACTCGAATTATTTATATCCGTTTTATCAATGTATTATACATTAACTATAATTTTAGTTCAATTTACTTTTCATCTTTTTCTTTTAGAACTAGAAAAAGATAAAGAGTTAGTTGAACCGAGATTAAAATTAAACTATATTGGTAGAAACCGGTATTAGATTAATTTAAAACATGAGAAATGTCGGTCAATGTAATTCTTTGTCTGAACGCAGTATGCGTAAATTTTTCACGCATTCTGAACAAGACATAAACGGCCATCAAAACTCGTATTTCGACGTATGACATTCACATATTTTTACGAGCGTCGTTAACGTCAGTGGTGCATGTTTTCCAAGATTAAGTATGCTCATAAAGCTCTATGGACTTCTATACTTTTTGCTGTCGCACCATGCAACATATAACTACTGCACAGTGCGCAATTTCGAAGACGTAATATGAGATGGAAAATTTAACTTCATGGAACATACTGCTCATTTATAATATTTACGTCCCTATATTAGGCTATTTCTAATAATTTATTTTCTCGTAAAATAAGAAATAAAAAGCTTGACTTATAATGCGCGTTTAATTTGGCGGATTAATATTTATTAACGATTGAATAGTTTTGCCAGATAAAAGCGCATCAAATTATCCAGTTAATCCTTTTGATAAATAATAACAAAATAACATTTAATTTTAAAAAATGATAAAACGTAGAGACAGGAAACACTGGAAATTAACCTTATTAAAAAAATTGAACATATCGAAAACATATGAATTATTACCGGCATTAAATTTGATTTTACGTCAACAATTAAAACTTATTAAGTAGAAATACACGTTTTCAGACCATTCTTTCTCGTAGAAAAAAGATGCGTATGATTTAAATATTCTATCGCGGATTATATTCAGAGCATCACTTGACATGCAGGAAGCATGTTCATTATTATTACACAGCCGTGGGATAAAGCAGTCGCATAATCACGTCACAGTACAAGGTAGCGTTAACAACAGAAGCGTACATGAGCTTTTTGACTTCGTAGGCGAGATGGTAGCCAGCGTATGCGGACTCCTCTTGCGATCTGGAATCAGAAGGTTTGCGTAACGTTGGATCTGTTCTAAGATGACTCTCTCTCTCTCTCTCTGATTTGGTCCAGTTGATGAAAAATATAATGATGAGAATGGTAAGTGATTCTTCGGCAATTAAATCAAGACGATTGTCCGATTTTAATTGTGAAAGGAAATATTGCTGCTTACACGTCATGTGATCTTGTTTTAACGTACAAAGATTTGGTTGCAAAAGTACGAATCACATGTGTTTGTTGGGAAAAAACACCGAATGTTCGGGAATCTTGGAATAATAATAGAGAGAAATTGCAGAAACTAATCTAGCGAACGTGTAACAGGTTCATCGGAAAATGTCAACGACCACCTGTAGCCTGTTATTCGCACCATCCGGCAACGTAGTACAAGTGGCTGTCGTCCTCGCGCGATTTCTCTCGTGATTTATGCGAACCGTTTGTTGTTCAAGTTTACGGTGCCCTTTGTCAACACTTGAGCGATAAAAAGCACTTATCTCTTTTGCTTCCGATTAACTGGTTTTACATCTAACATCCTAATCGACATCAAATAAAGGTAACATAACATCTATGTTGTAATTTCGCACTCAACAATATAAATGTAATATAACATATAGTGTTACATAATAGTTACATTATTGAAGGCAAAATTATAATATAACGTTATGTTATATTTTTAATTGGTATCGACTGGGATCATTTCATCGCTAGAAGATACAGTATGTCCGATCAAGCTATATGTCCTTTCACAAGAAAAGAATAATACTTTTAGAAATGTAACAAAATTAAATATAAACGATCAGGAGCTTATTCGGTTTATACATGTCAACGGCGACTCACGATATACATATAAATATCGAAATTACTCTCTCGATTGTAGATGAGATGATTCTGGATCGCATCGAAGATCTCTACCGAGAATCGGTACGTTAAATCTTGGCGGGTTATATGGATCGTACGTTTAACGGTTTTAGGAACATGCTAGAAAAATGCTAATGCAAAGGTCGTTGATACATTAATGTGCAGATCATCCTAGTGCACTCGATCAAAATAGGACGTTGTTATATTATTGGATTAATATCGTTTAGCTGAAAAGTACACGCATTTACAAAAAAAGAACAATATAAAAGGCGCATATTTAAAACTGCACATTTTACTTTGTGACATGTATAATTAGGTTATTCAAAATTCGTTGTCAATTCGTCAATTAGTGCAACATATTAGGTCTGCTCTTTTTAGCTAAAATTTTTGCACGGTTCATCTTTCTTCCTTTTCTCTGATGTTGGAAAGTAAAAAGGAAAGATGAACCGTGCAAGAAGTTTAGTTAAAAAGAATAGGCCTATTATGTACACAAAATAGTTGTCACACAGAATGGCTTAACAAAATTCTATCCTATTTGCCAATTAGAATTCAGTTACAATTTGAATAAAGTAAAGTGATAAAATGTAAATTAATAAATAAATAACTGTTGTACGACAGGACAGAGAGAGATCAGAGCGTACTTCAAGAAGATATTTACGTTCAAGCGACTCACAATCAGAGAAGAAAGCGATTCTCATTGTTTAGAAAATACGTGTCGGTATCAAATGTCGAGTGCACTGTAAGTCTCGCCACAAGGTGACATAAAAAAATATATATATTTAAAAAATCCGAGCGTTGTTTTGGGAAGATCGCTTCTCGCCTTCTTATGTTAATTCTCAGTAGCGAAATTCGCATGTGTTGCTTTGGTTGGGTGCAAAACAGGCGTATCATTAAGTACTCTGATAATCAATGATTATGAATGAAATTGTAATTTCTCATATACGATGGCGATGTAAGTGATCATGTTTGGATGCGAATATGCTAGGTGTGATGATGAAATTATAATGTGCTGCGGATAATTAGGTACCTTTGATTATACGGCTGATTCGGGCTGGACAGACTGTCATTCGTCGCTCGATTTACGTTTGGCTTCACCTTGTTGACCTGCTTCGTTGAATTTATCATGGTCATCCCGATGGAATTCCGATGATTTCTCATAGCTGCAATGTAAAGGGATTATCAATAATATTTATGAAATAATATTGAATAATAAATGGTAGAAAGATATTTCATATCAAAGGTTAACAGGTTTTCAATCATTTTACAATTTTAATTAACAAATTAGTAAAAATTAATTAATATTACACATCTCGTAACTGAAACTTACCATTCGGATCGTCTCGTTCACGGCTGATTTCACCTAAAATGGATAGAACAGTGTTAATTCTAAATCTGAGCATCCTATTTATCGTCGATAGTGGGCAAAGCAACAATGATTAAGACAATTAAAGTGTCACATTGATCGTGACCTAACTCCCCCCATTACAGCGTATATTATTTCCGTGATGATGAGCCTACAGCCCCATGCTTACAGGCGCGCATACTTCACCCTATACATGTATTTTGCATGTATCAAAAGATTAATAATTAATGACGACGATCAAATCAGAAGATCTTTAATTGCGAAATTTTCAAACTTTTATACATTAAAATTCTTTTTAAGTATTTATTCAAAGTATTTCTTATATAACAATTGTATTTGACTATATGATAAATATTGAATTTCTTTTCTAAAAATTCTTTCCTAAAAATATATTTAAAAAATGTAAAGTCAAAGGTAGAAAGAAAATTTATTCACAGATTCATTACATAGGTAAAAAGCAATATCTGCTTTAGAAATATTGCAAGCTATTGCGGCGCTATGAAAATTAACGAGGGACAACATATGGCGCCTGTCGCGGTAGTTTCTTGAACAACCATTTTCTGCAATGATGAAACAAAATTATAAAGTAGATGATGTACACACATATTCGCCAACAAACACAGATGTTACCAAACTAAAATTTCTATGTATTAGAAACCATTAATCTACCGTGCTGTGTATACAACTATAAATCCATCTTCACAAAGTTGAAAGCAACAAGATACTATCGATCGAAAAGCGCGTTTCACAAAGTCAACGACTCAGTCGTGGAACAAACATTCTAAATGTATGAAAGAAAAAATTCTATTTATGATACACAAAGTTTAAAGGGAGAAATTAGTTCAGCAAAAATTACTTGAACTAAAACGTTTCTCAGACTTGTATTGTCAAAAATTAATTCGACTCAATAAAGTAACATTTATAATTTATAATCTGAATATTACGTTAAATAAGGTATTTATTAAGATAAAAGAGGAGAATTTCGGAGCAAATCTATAGTTTATAACAAATTTGTGTATATATTTAATTTATAAGTTGACGTGAAAGTATGAGAAACATTTGCATAATTAGAAACAATTTTCTACTTACGCAGACGAGCACCAATATATATTCCGAGCATTTTAATTACGCGATTTTAACTTATTTCCAACAACTTTGGCATTCTTTGTTAGTTTATATTTAAAAAAAATACTTTTTTATATCCTTTGAATTTTTGATTTTATGAAAAAATTAATTTATGGCAAAACATGTTTTGCAATAATAAATTATTAGATGGAAAAACAAGTACGAATATTATTTTTCGGAAAATTGCCTGTTTATTCGCATTTTCGTAAAAAACGCTTTTTAAAATGATACGCACGTCCATCGATATGTAACTTTATTTGAAAAAAAAAAAAAGAAAAAACATGTAGGTCAGTAAATAAATACATTTCAGTCATTAACATCTGCGAAATGTATTAAATGCTTTACGAATCTATGATAAAGCAAATGAATAAATAATATCAAAAATAAGTTTTGTATGACTACCGAATGCTATTGCAACTATACTAAAATTGTGTTTTGTGCAAACTAATTCAATGAAGTTCAAAGTAAATTTGAAAACCAAATAACTTATTTTATTTTTTATAATTTATAAAAGATAAAATATATAATTTTATGTATAATAATAAAGATGATTCCAAATGAAATAGTCATTAAAGTAACACGAGTAATAAATTTATAACTTTAAATAGACACTACACTAGAAATAAAATGACGGAAAAGTATGAACAGGTATTTTTGAATCTATTAAACAACTTCATGCAACGCTGTCAATAATGGAGAAAGTAGTATATACGAGAATGTTCATTAGCACACACAATCATGATTAGAAAGATTGACATTTCATTTCATATCAATTTTTTTTCTACTTTCTCCAATGCTTCATCAACACAAAATTAGCGCGGTAAACTTTGATAAAAGGAAAAATCTTAATCGAACACGACGTGTCAAGAACCTATCGCTCAAGCGAGTTTGACGAAGCGTATCAAATGCGGAAGATTGAATTTCCGAGAGATGTCGATCGAGAGCAGTGATTCTTTTTAAGATCGTCGTATCTGCTAATTGTCAAGCAACTTCTCGTTAGCGTATTCGTGTCGTATTGCCAATCGAAATTAGAAAGGGCAGCTTGCGAGACTGTAGCATGGTTTTTGAGATTGAGGTGTAACTGTACCTCTTACGTGAACCATCTTGGGCAGTTCTGGCGGAGTGAATGTGGGGGGAGGATGGTGGTCGTCTGTAACAAACCACTACACATGTTAGCTACCCTAACTAATTACCTAAGGCCTAGTCGCTACTCTATCGTTGAACAGTACTAAATCGCTATAACTTCTAAAAGCGAAGTTCCGTTTCAGCGTCGCGTGACGATACTGATAATTCGAAAATCATGTCAAAATGATTTTGTTACACTTAGCAAAAAAAAAGTTATAAAAACAGTCTTTCCTTACCTTGCGCTAAAAGCTAGGAAATGTAGAAATATAACAGATACAGAAAGATTAAAATTTGATTATTATACATAAATCGTTGACTAAAATTTTACTTATATAAATGTTAATATGAATTAAATCTATATATATGTAATAATTAAATGTAGAATATAACGTCGACGATATTAAGCTGAAACGGCCTTTCATATTTATTGCGCTAAAAACAAAATATCGTAAAGAAAAAAACCACTAAAATTGTAGAGATAAATGTGTAATTCTGAAATTCTAACAGATAAAAATACAGTTCGTGACAACATGGACGAGTTAAGGTCAAACAGTTTTTATGAGAATTTTAATATTAAAAACGACTTCTCGACCATATTGCGGGAACGTTATACAACATGATACTAAAATCGACCTACGATCATAAACGTGCAGTGTGCCCAAAACATTCCTAATTCATGCCGAAGATGACGCAAGCGGAGAAAACGCAACCGATATCGAGCAACTTACGAACGTAGCAACCTTTGCTTATTTCTGACGAACGTACAAGTTAAAAACGATCCATTGCTTCCACTTGCGTCGTGTTATATCCTGTCCTAAGCATGCTATAATATAGTCTTACAGAGTGAATATTTACTCGGCATTGTCAGTGCGCTTTGCATTCTCCGGGAAAGAGAATTCACGTGCAAAACGACAAAGACTTTGCGAAAGCTCGGGAGAGATTGAAAGAGTGCATGAAAGATCATAGAGCTCGTCTACTGAAAGCGCAAGGAGAATTCTCTTTTTGGATTCCGACGTGAACTCGTCGTCTACGGGACGAGACGAGACGCGCCGACGATTGCGACCTACTGTTTTGTTTACAATTGACATTATCTCGAAACCGACGCACAGTGTGATACGAGCGAAAATACTTGCAATTTATGCGAAGTTCCTCTTTACGCACTTACTCGAGCCCCCCCTTGAGCGGAATAATGCTACGTTAATTAGAAATTGTAGACATTCGTCTTCGCTCGGAAAATCAAAGTAAGCCCCCTTTGATATGTTCCTTCCAAGGAAACGTCCCCACAAATTGTGCAAAGTGTAATTCCTTGTTTCCCTTTATAAAACGAGATCGCAGAACTTCCGGTTTTCAATTGAAAATGATGTAAACAGAAATTAATGAGGAAATGATTAAAGTCGACAAAGCGAGTTACGATGAGATATATTGCACTTGACATTATTAGGAGATATATTCTCACAATCAAATCTCTAAATATGAGACACCAAGAAACCAAATCTTATCATTGTAGCTAGCTTTAAATTGACACCTCATTCGATTTTAATTCAATCCATTTTCGCATGAAATTAATACCTCATAATATTTTCCATTTTACATTATTATTTTTCAAATTTTGATGGTGACTTGATTTTTGCACGACTCTGTTTATTTGAGGACACATTTCCCATGTTTCGCAGAATGCAATAGGTTTCATCCCGTAATTAAATCTATCAATCTAACCCATTTGTCAGATCAAGTTGATTAAAAAATAAATGATAGATCGATGTAGGATGTTCGAGTAAATGCGTAAAAGGTGGTACGCTTCATCGGCGGTATTTCCTACGGTTGTACAGCATCACTGCGTAAACCGTTGAATGTCCGCGTTTTATTAGCACCTACGCCTCTATAAACGCGTAGCAACGCGTGTGCGTGCGTTGCGATCTAAATTGCATCTTCTTGTGTGAACGCGACCGCGGCCGGGGGAGATTGTACGTGAAATTAAATATAATATATACAAGATAAGAGAAAAATGCAATATATATAAATGTCAATGTATATCCGCGTTCTTCGCTAGACTTACTTGCGTACGAGAGGTCTTCACCTATGCGGAGTGGTGGAGGAGACGAGGAGAGAAGATAGATTCGGACAGATAGACACATATAGAGAGTTAGTTAAAGAGTCTTTGCTTGCGAATCTCGTGTTCTGTCGTGAGCCCGTGCGCGCGCGCGTGTGTTTTGTTGTTTTTCGCGTGTAGATTACGTATATACGCGTGTATGTGTGGGTGTGTGTATGCGCGTGAATTGTGAATTGTGTGTACCTTGACATTTAATGTGATTGCTGATTCGCGTGTTTCGCCATGTATACATATGAGTAAGATGAGTGTAGAATGCGTTGCTCGAATGAGCGATGCAAATAGTGCTAGTGTATAAATTTTTACGTTAATTGATATTTGTCACGCTTCTCTTACGCGCGCATCGCTCACGTGTACACGTCTATCTAATATCGTGAAGATGTGGTGCTGAGCCGGCACAAACACCGATCTGCTTCCGAAAGAGGGAAAAAGGAAAAAAAAATGGTATGGCAATCGGAGGTCACCAATGTTTCATTGATCTCTACGCTGTTGGCGAATCAAACTGTCCGCGAGGTTGCTCCGATGGCCAACAATTTTTTTTATGACACAGAACACTCGTTGATGTCGCGTGACAACGCCGTCAATCCAAAAGCGACGTTCATCTGACCGTTAATAAAGTAAATGGATATCGGCGGTTCTGACGATATCAATGTGGCGTTGACGCCGACTCAAAGAGTGTTTTGCGAACGAAACACAGGTACTCCATATCCAGCGGTAACACTCATGTGTTAATTACGAAACATTGATTATAACGTCAAAAATATTTAAGGAATACCGAAACGAATATCAGGTTATGACGTTTATAGTTAAAGACGTTAGTTCTCTTCGATATCAACGATCGTTGCCTCTGCCACAGGACGAGTAAAAATCCACGTAATAAAAAAGGCTAATTCTAAAGTATCTCTAATTACACGTCGAATTATTAGATATCGAACACCGATGCAAGGTTGATTGGAGGTAGTTTAATACTTCAAGGCAATCACATCACGTCGATTTTCGATTGCGTTAATTTCATAATTCACTCACAACAATAACCATCGAGTAACACTGACAAACTTTTAGGAAAAACTACATTCAAAACGACATTGATAGTAGTGTAATCTCAGTTGCAAAATAGTTAAGAACACCACACCAATAGGGACTCAAACACTAACGATGTTCTACGCTGGAGCCATTTATCAATCCGAACGAACTTTAGGAGATTAGCACAACGGCATTATAATTTTGTTATAAAAACTTATCGCAAAATTATATAGACCAATCAAGGTCTTACAAGCTTAACAAATAGACTTAATATTTTGTAGTAGATATGAAAATTTCTGTGGCATGTTTCGCGCGTTGTGCTAGTCTTGTTGAATATGTAATGGTAATTTTTTTATTCGGTAAGCTTTCGTTTAAAACCGCGTAAAATTTATCGATAAAATAGGCCTTGACGAAAAATTTATTGAATAGAAAGAAACACACATGTAATTAAAGTTTACCGTTACAACATTATCTTTGATCGTCAAGACCTCAAATCAGATATTGTAATTTCAAATCATGTTTCCAGATTAAAAAATTTTGCCTTTTTTACAATATATCCGTCAAACAAATGATATGATTAAATCGCATATAAGATCGTTTATTTAAACATGACCTTTGAATTTATTTGATATAATAGATAATAACTGTATTTAAAAATAAATATTTAAATACAGTTAAAAGTACAGTTCTTAATTGGTATAACAGTACAGAAATATATAAGATAAGAAATTATTATTGCAATCAAATTTATATTATTTAGATATTTCAATAAATATCACAATTCATAACTTCGAAATAATTACAGTATTTTGTACTACGAATTTACTAGCATTTATTTCACGGCACATACCTTTTGTGCATTGCATAAAACAAAGAGAAAATTGCTTTTCTTTTTATATATATATATATATATAATTAGTTAGAACTGTAATTTTGTTATGATATGAACGCTGAGGTTTTTTCGAGTCAAAGGCCATGTTGCTCTATTAGAATATTATCTTCTATTTTCACAATCACACCTTATCCAATGATTTTACTTTAAAAAAATTTTCGTATTTCCGGGATTAAGATAAAAGAATGACGTTTGGTACACAATCTACACACGGGGGATACGTACTTGCTCTTCCAACCATCTGAACAGCTCGCACGCCTTTCCGGAATGTGGCCACTGCCCGAAGGGAGGAGAGAGAGAGAGAACCAGAGCTGTTAGTTGTCACAACCAAAATAATGTCAACCTAGATGCGGGGGTCTCAACGGGTGTGGGGGATCTAAATCCGTTGTCCCGATCGATATGTCACGTTTAGAGCGATTTATCAGGATCAGAGTATCACAAATTTTCGTATTTTCTCTCTGATTTTCGATTTAACTTAATTTTTGTTCTTACTTAAATTTGATTTTATATTTATATCAGCGTTTCTTAAATTACATTCAAGATTAATTTAATAAATCATGCCTGTGAAATATTTAGTCCGTGTAGAAATCGTTTATGAAAAGATAGAAATTGAATTTCGAAATAAAGATTTAATCGAATGTCGCTAATTTGACAGATCACAAAAATATTTCAACTTTTGCGAAAATGTCGTTGTAGCTTACAGTAACGTGACCTTCGATGGAGAGAGTCATTATTAACATTGGTGTTACAACCATTGCATAGTTTAGTTTGGCCTACTGTGAGGGTCGCAACACATAGATATTATATCTGCGCTGTGCGGTTGAATCTCATATATTCAAGAATACGTAAAAAAGAAATAAACGTTTCCTCAGAAGTCAATATCGGTTGCAGAGTGTCGGCGTTATATTGTTGTGATGTTGGTGAGTGGTGTCAAATATGCTCGATATGTGAGGGGAAATGGAGTATTTTTAGCCGATGTAAACCCTGGGCATCGATTATCATCGTCCCTGTAAGCTGTTTAAGCTCATGGTAAGCTTACGTCTTGGTGCTTTTTCTGATTGCGTGCCGAATTCAATCAACCCGCATTTAGCGACATTGAAAGTATATCACGGAAACGGAATGTCACGTGCACGAGCAGATCAATATCACTTAATAACGCACTGCTGTAGTTTTTCTGAGCTATTAAAACGTTTGAAATTTTAAAGAAATTAAAAGAACATATCATATGTGACATATTTGAAATACTTCTTAAATAATATGCAACGTACTATTAAACATTTGGTATAAAATATACGTAGAGTGTTTAATATTCTTTTAATTAAATGCAAAAGTATTCATAAACGCATATATTCAAACATTTGCACAAGATTTTCAAGACGAGCATTTGTAACCATCTTTTAATTTCGTATTTAATATTGAATTTAGACAAACTTAACACAGAAATTAATTAAAATGCTGCAATAAAATTTGATTTCACAACGATTAATTATACAATTTCTTATGTAAATACGGGGCAATAAGAAAACGTTTTTCGCGAAAGTCAATATTGAAGAAATGGTTATATTTACTCATGACTGATATATTCATATTAATTATGCTTATATTAATACTTATTCATTAATTTTTAAATTTATAAGTGCATAGCTTTACGATATGATTTTTGGAATTGCAACTTTCACGAAAAGCGTTTGATCTGTGCAGGAACAATGCAAACTTTCACGTTGTTATATACAAGGCGATCCAAAGTAATAATACTTGAACTCAATTATACAATAAAAGATATGCACGTACATATATGAATATATATTTATTTATTTATGGAGTATATAATATTTTGGATAGCCTTATGTATATAAAAAGACACTTCAGTTCCAAATTGTCACGCTTATTGTTGCGATCATTGAAGCGGGTTCTGACAAGAAAAAAGAATAAACATTGTATGCGTGTTACATGAACGAACACGTGACAATATCTGGAACTGGTGAAATATATTATTAATAAAAATCCACGTAAGCACACTGAAACAACAATTAAGAAACGTTAGCAAGCCTGAAATATGACATGGGCAAACTCGTCGACTGGTGTTAGGTGGCAGCCATTTAATGTGAAGACACAAAATATATATACGGCTCGGCAACGTGCAAGAATGCATTTCTGCGCGAAAGCGGCCATTGTATCGTACTTGTGACGAATGAAGCTAAACATAATACGCAATAGTTAATCGATTTTTGTGGCGTATGACCGCATCCGTTCGTCCAATCGGAGTGCTTGTTACTCGGCCCCGTCCCACGTGTCGAAGTAGGAGAAGCGGCGAACAATATTAGTGCTACATATAACGTAACTATATGCTGCTATTAGAGGGCGATGCTCGATAACTCGCTCAATGCCATCAGCTCTAGCAAAAGCCCAACGATAAACAATGTGGATCATACGGATCCGAGTGGAAGAATATCGTATACGGGGTACTGTGGAGTAAGTGCACGTGATAAGTGAGACGATTAGTCCGTCGGTTTGGCTGTACGTTCAATATCACTTACGCCATCTTACCTCATTACACAATTAAAGCCAACCTGATTCTGCCGGACAGCAAAACTGTTTGTGATGTCGCCAAACGAAAAGTTACGCGAATGAAATTTTATGATCATGATTTTTCCATATGTGAACATAAAATAGCATGCCGAGTCCAGCAGAATGCATTTTGTCAGAATAACGAACATGGATCGAGTACGTTGACAATTAGAGTGTCGATTTTAAAAAGAAATTTCCTTTTTTATATAAAAAATTCGACGTTATTAATTTAAAAAAAATCGACCCATGTGTGCTTTATACTGACAAATTCTCGCAGAAGCTGCGACAGGTGGACACGCATGTACGAGATACGAAAAGGATGGAGGAGGAAGCCGGCAACAGGCATACCGTCGAGATAACTGCTGTAGGCAGTGTTTCCCTTCACCATGCCAGTCTGCATCATCATCATCCCCACATCTGGAAAAATTCAGCGATCGACCCGGACACGGGTTTGTGAGTTATGAATAAAATGAACAGACGCATCATATATACACGAGAGAAAAACGTGAATGGCTGGTGTTCACAACGCACTTTGTTTTCTCTCTCCTTTTTTTAGTAAATGTATAGCTTTTGTGGAATTCGTATGTGCACGTGCACGCGAGCGGAATGAATTGTGCGATGTATATATAATGTATAGTATGCAAATATTAATTGTAATCCAAATACGAAAGTATTCAGAAATTTAAGATGAATAAAATTAATTTTAATAAAAATAATATCGACGATATATATAATCTAGTGGAGAGAATTACCACGATCCCGCGTCAGTCCACGTACGAATTCGAATTAGTCACAATATTTAAATACGTCCAATCACAAATAAGGGTACACTCGGTACATCCAATAACGCTGAAAAAAAAAAAAATAGAAAATATCGAGTAAATTACCTTTCCTCGTCACCATTGAAATTCTTTGAAAACCTAAAAATTAACGTTGATCGATATTGCGGATCGCCCGGCGCTCCGGCACGAGCACCGGGAACGTTGATTGCCCAGGGTTTAGGGTATTACGTTCCTTTAAATGGACAAGACTGATCGTGTGATCGGGTAAGCGTAAGTCGCTACTCGAGGGAGACTAGTGTGGATGTAATCGTGTACATGGTCGTGTACAAGTGTACGCCTGATGTGATATGTCGCGTGTGACATGGAAGGAGTTGTCGGACGGGGGCGACCCGTGATCTCCCCCGATGTGCCTGAGTGACACCGGCACGGAGATTCTCGTCGTTCGTGGGGAACGGATGGGTATGCTCCTGCCATCGGCGCACTACCGGTCGGCAATCCAATTTCACTGGCGATTCAAGAACGAGAAACGTTCGACGAACGTGAGAACGCGCGTGAATGCGATGGAAGACGCGCAGCTCGATCGGGCTGATCGATCGACGAGAGATCTCATCGACAATACAGCTAGCACACGTTAAGAGAGAAGGGGAACGTGAGAGAAAGAGAGAGAAAGGGAGAAAGGCAGACGATTAAAGAAGACAGTTTCGGAAAATGAAGTAAATGGAGACAGCGAGATAGAGAAAGAAGAAGAGAGACAGAGAAAGAGGGTGTGAAGACAGACAGTGATCGAGAAAAAAAGCTGTCATTACCATTATGGCGAAAACAGGTCTAAATCCGGGAACTAGTCATGCATGCAAGGCGAGCGAGAGGGGCACACACTATTAGTGCAGGCTAGTTTTCGTTCTCGGTCAGGTGGACATGCGCCAACTGACTGGGCTTTCGGAAATTACTGTGTTGAACTCAGTACTTCATTTATTTTTCACGTCATTTCTCGCGATCGGAGCGAGCATAAAGTTTCCCCGAAAATGAAATAAATTAATCGTGCTCGTCGTTATGTGACACACAAAGTCGCAGTATTTGATCTATTCGCGCGTAGGCGCGTAATGAATTTTCCATTTAATTCGTGCATCATTCAATTCATTACAAAATGTGTTACGTTCAGCTTTTGCTGTTGGTCGCAATTACAAAAATCGCCGCGTAATTGGCAAACTTTTCCAAAAAAAAAAAAAATTGAAAACGTAACAGTGCAAAATAAAGAAGTACCCAATTATAGCATCGCCTTGGGGATTGTGTTTTGCGATGAAGATTAAAAATGCAATCATTATTGTGCTGATCATCATCATCATCATGATAATTATCCTCATAATCATCATTTTGGCTTGCAAGAGATCGATTAATATCGGAAGTAATATATGTATTCACAGGACACAGAGAGAGAGAGAGAGAGAGAGAGAGAGAGAGAGAGAGAGAGAGAGAGAGAGAAAGAGACAGACGGAAAATTATACAGACAAAGAGAAAGAGTGAAAGTGAAAGACAAAGAGAGATAGCAAAAGAGGAAGAATGAAGGGTAGGGAGCAATGAAAAATGGGGAGTAACTTAATAGAAAGACATATCGCAAGACGCGAAACAGAGTTTTAGTACAGAGGCAGAAACAGTAGACAGTACAGTCAAGTTGATGTTTGGCGAGTGGAGGGGTTGAATCAAGAGCCAGATCGTATATAAAAGGGCAAAAAGATTAAAAAATAAGTGATAATCATAGAGATGATAGTAAAGTATCAGACTTAACGAACGAGTGTGAGAGACGTTACCTAAGTCCCGGCCCCAGGAGCGCTGCTGCTGCCCCACTAGATCATATATCACAATAGGATAGTCACAACCATGTCACTTCGTTAATAGTCGCATTTATTACTGTTATCACGCTCTCAAAGAAGGTGGGCCGGTATAAACCGGAGTGAGCGAGGGAGAGGAAAAGGGAGAGATATTAAGAGAGCTTCCTACATGATCCGTTTACACTTATACGTTACTTTATATCGAGACGTTATAATTTTGCGAGTCAAATCAAAGGCACGCTCCGTCAATATCGACTGACAGAGAGAGCAAGAATGAATAAAAAAGAGAAAGAGAGATAGATAGTTATAGAGAACGCGGGGAGAGAAATCGCGTGTGAGACTCGCAATCTCTATCAATAGATTGAGCGCGTTCTATGTACAAAATACATCTGTGTACAGTTTATATGTTAGATATAGACATATGTATATATATATATATATATATTAATATATATATATAATCGAGATAGAAGACCGGATGTCATTTAGCAGAAAATTTGGCAAAAATTGAGAAAGGCTGTTTAAAGGATCACTGGGCCAGAAAGACTTACAATTTTTGCACTTGCACTTCTTGATCAGAGTCTCGTCTTTAATATCCTCGTGGCATGCTTTGCAATAGAACCACGCCCTGGAAATAAAAGCACAAGAGAGACACACGATTATTATTCACATGAATTATAAAAGGAAGTCTATCAGATTTTTATTGGAAAAAAAATAAAACGATAAAATCAGAAAATACAGAAAGATAATTACAGAAGTTGATTGTATACGATTCAGTTTATAAAATATTATAAAATAATGGAGAAAGAGGCAATATACATATTATATTATTAAACATTCTTGTAATTTGTTGTAAAAAATTATAAAACACTTGTTTTAAGATATAATTAAATATTGCATATTGAGAATGAACACTTATAGTTTTAAATAGTTGCTCGAATCTCTTTAGCTTGGCTTGAATGCAGTCTTATTTCGATAATTAATAATCCTTGATAGAATTAAGCAAGACTATACAATGTCTAAATAAGCTTCCGCTTTAAATCGTTTTAGCAATGTTTCGAAATATATTCGAGGGTTCTTACCGCTTTACTTCGTCAGCAGATTGAGCAATGAAGAATCCCTGAGTATTTGCAGCGATCTTGGCACCACGTGGGTTAATCGAGATTTTACTGTCGGAGCCTCCTTCGCCCTTTATCTCGATAGCCAGCAGCAAGAGCTTCAGTTTTGTGAAGCACAACCTACGACGAAGTTATGCGTAATATTCGAAGTCTTACTAAGCATCAAGTTAACAGAAAATTTTAATATTTTGCTTTGTTTTTATTACCATACATTTATGGACATAGCAACATTATATGCAAGAACATGGCCACTGATAAGCGATTAAGAATACTGCGAAGCTATTGTCGTTGATAATGAGTTGTTTTTAAATAAGTATAATAATTTACACTGATGTCTAAATTCATTTCTTACAATGTAAAAGTGTTTACAACACAATGAAGTTAATATATAATAACTACAAAGTATCTTTAATAAAATAGAACATCAGAAATAGTTGAGAACAACTCAATATCATCCGTGTTAGGCGAACAATGAAACCTGAATTCGTAAAAGGGACCTCTGTTGCTCGTATGAAACCATTTTCATTTTAGTTTTATTATAAAGCAATAAGATTATATAAAATTATACAACTTTGTAATACAACTACTATAATAATCCTTTAATATAGCTACTTTAAACATACATATGAATATTTGCATACGAACGCAAGCTTCATTCTTTGCATAAGATTTAATTACAAATGTAGCATAAAGTATTTCCAGACTGTATTTATATATATTTCAAATGCATAATAGGATAAGGTAGAACATTTATTTAAGATTCATTTTTCTTATCTAAAAGAGTCTAAAAAAAATTAATAATATGTAAAAGTGAAACTTTATTTTATGTTATTTTATTATTTAACGTATCTCTTATTGTTCAATGTGATGATTTAACGATAAATAAATATTTTATAATTTTACATACTTTATGCCTTTCATTTAGCGAATAATATGTGTTAGTAAGATATGTGTATATACACCCACAGCGTAACGGGATACTGATTGTGCAGAGGCAAATCTTATTATTCAGACTATTAAAGCATTTAAATTTGCAGCGCCTATTTATTTAAAAAAAATTAAGCCTTGTTTATACCTGCATGTATCATAGTTCCCGTTATACCACCTCGGCGCTAATTGAACGTTAAACAATCATGCAATCGATGCAACATGTATCGATGAATTAATCCAGGCGATCATGCAGGAAAGTCTTACATAAAACGATTATTACTTATTTAATAATACGAGCCGAAACATGCCAAGATAGGTTGAGAGTCTCTATCGTCCTTTATAGACTATCTATTACGTTCTAAGTTCCTAATCTATTTCAAAGTTCTAGGAGACATTCGGGAGGTCCCATCCATGTAAGGATCAAACGGATTAACTAATGTTCGGAAAGCATTATATGTATATAATGTAATCGGATACGATATATGGAGTATAAAAAGATAATAATGATAATAAATATTCATAGATAATAAATATTCATGATGTATTCAATGTGAAGATCACTTCTTACAGGAATAGATCTCTCACACACGCAAACCAAATGATGACGATCCAAGTGCGCATAAACCAAACAGAAAACTCAGAAGAATTATAGCTTTCTGTCTCGCGATGCAATTCACTGATCTCTGTAGAATGTACCAGGAAACTACCATCATTTCCTTTTAGTATCATCTTCTTTAAGAGATTGTGATAGCAGTGAAAGTACTAATATCTAACTATGCAGAGTATTTTAAATTCCTCTTAATTGCCTTTACTAGATAATTTATCTTGAACTAATATTCAATTGCCTGTTATTTGTTATCACAATTTCTTAACATAACACAGTTTTAGATATTTCATTTAGTTGATCAAATTGTCGAATCACATTGTCCAATCAGTTTGTTGATTTAAGATGTATTCGAAATTAAAGAAAGAACAAAGAAACTTAATTTGTGAAATTGTTCAAATTTTCGAAATCTCGTGACTCAAAAACTATCGCTGCCGTGATATTTTTGAGATGAAAGTATGTAGGCAGTTTGCCGGTATTAAATGTGTCGTAAAAATAGAAAAATGAAAAATCACAGAAATCAGTGATGCAATCTTAGGCAAATATATACGGTGCAATTCAGACGGCTGAGAAAGGGTATCAAACGACGATTATTTCATTGACGATTGATTTTCTTAGTTATTTAAGATTATTTATTGAATGATATTTATTACGGCGACGTATATTATAGTATTTATTTAATTTAGTTAAATTAAAATTTATTTAATTAATACAGGGCAATATAATATATATTTTTACTGTGCAATATATATTTCTGACTGTTAAGCGTCATTTTATAATATTTATTTTCATCACAAAAACTCGTAGCTACAGAAAAAAGACGTATTTGTTTTTTCATAAATACGTATAGTTCTTGGTTGAATTTATTTTTATACATAGTGACTCGCAACGAAAATAAGATATAAAAGGATGTAAAAGTTATAATAACGTATTTCTGATAACTTTTCCATGTTAATTTGGTTTTTATAATTAATGCATGTATTTTTGTTGAATAATCTGAACATTTATGCTTGTGCAGGAAAATGTAAACTATTTTTGGAACAAAGTATACACACTATATTTCGTATACTTTGCATGCTTCGCGTACATCATAATTATAAATTCTTGTGACTAATTTCGATTGCAAGTAACTATGTATAACACCTTGATCAATTTTTATTGTGTGTGTGTGTATGTGTATGTGTGTGTCATAGTAGATATTAGTGAGCCGATATCTGTACAATATATTAGTACTTGTAGGAAGAACAGTATAAGTTACTCCCATAAATTACTTCGAAAATTTTCGCAAGAACAGAACTGCGAGCTCGATTAAAGTTTGTTACACGAACAATGTGTACTAATACATATTTATGTCTAATCGGCAGCCACGATCGATATCTGCCCGTACACTTCTTCAATAACCTGTCAATGTGTTACGAAAATAAGTTTTACATACTTTTACATGGTAAAGAGCAACAGGCATGCGTGTACAAAGAACGCGCTTTTGTTAAGATAAAATTAGATTATGCTACATCTAAGAACACACACCATGACAAGGATACGGACATTACTGACAAAAAAAACAAAAATTTCATCCGTTGTTATATTTAAAAGTGTTCATATAAAAAAAGGAAAGATTTTTCGCTGTTCTTTTTCCTAATAAAAGTAGAATTATGCTTTTTCGCCGTTTCGCCGGAATGAGGTCACGGTACGCGCGCGTTTCTTTCTCATTTCGTCTCACGTTGCGCCGAAAAAAATTGTGATATTGCCGAAGCGGGATGCACGATTTACCGGGATGAATGCGGATCTCGCAAACGATTCTTGAAACGCGCGCCTGGCTGCAACTAATTAAGGCTTATTAAGAATAGCCGTTGGTCACGTTATACCATGACACGATATTGTGCGCGCCAATTTGAGATTAAAAACATTCAAGGCCGACAATTAAGCAATTTTCGTGACGTTTAATGTTGTGAAAATGAACACTGTGTATTTTATCTTATAAGTCCTTTAATTCCAATTATTATTTTTTATATTGAGTTTTATACAGTACATTACCAATAAAATAATAAAAAAAAATTGATTAAATATAATAAAAGAGGAAATAAAAATAAAAAATCTTTAAAAAGACGCAAGAAAATGTTCTGCGTGTCACGCAAACGAATTGAGTTAGGAGGAACATTAAACAATATGCAATTTTCAATTTCGATATTAATTGTTCCGCGAAATATTGTTAGGACACGAGAGTTCTATTGAGTTAGGCGGTCTCGACATGGTCGTCACGCTTGACAGTAACATTTTCAGAATCGCGACCATTTGCACGCAAATCACCTGCGCCGGTGTTCCCAGAAATTTTAGAATTCAGGTGTGGGTTTGAAAACACTTTCGTTTCCGGGAAACATTGTCGATTCCCCCGTTGCCAATCAAATGTCCCAATTAGACCAGCATGATCGGCCCCCGGCAATCGCTGTGACTGGCAAAGTCCGCATTCATCCCCGGCACGTCACTCTACTCTTTATTTCTATGCAATTCAACAAAGATTTGTGCAGAATTTCGAGCAGCTCGAAAACGAAAATCAAAACTGAATCGAAAGAATAAGGACACGGCCGAACAAAAACAAAAAGACAAAAAATGGAAAAAAAAGGAAAGAAAAGATTCGTACAGCTCAAAACTGGACTACTCTACGCAAAATCCAAACAAAAGGATGTAGACAAAAAGACGAATATAGTAGAATCTAATAAAAAATCGTTCAAAGACTAAGAGACCGAGGTGAGGGGCGATATATATAAATATATATATATATGTTTTCAAGATACGTGACAATATGTATGTATGTCTCGGTATTGAGACAGTTCAGTGTGTTTATTCGTAAGACAAGATAAGACAAAGAGATAAATAGAGAGAAAGAGAAAGAGATAGAAAAGAAAGGAATTCGTAACCGAGTGTACAGTGTCGATAGAATATTTTTCGTATTTGCATTTTTCTTCTTTCTTTTCGTACATGAATGTTGTATGATAGTCCGTATAGTTGTCAATTCTGTATATATGGTATGTTGTCGCGTGACTTGTGTAAGAGTATCTGTTTACGGTACGTTTACGTGTGTGACAGCCGTTGGCAGCGAGAACTTACTCGCTGGCTTGGGGAAATGTCATCCCGGTAAAGGACGGGGAGAGGGTTTCCGTGTACATCTCGCAGCCCGTGCCCTGCAGGTAATCATTCTGCCATGCCTGTGTGTCCGGCGACTGAAACACCAACCAACCAGACCCCACGTCATCAAACTTTCATGATCCACGTCGCGTGTGAATGCGCGGCGGAAGAGCATCAGCTGCGTGTGAGCTGCTACCCTTCCCGGAGAGAACATTTCGCATATGTTTTCTAAACGAGAAATCGCGAATCGTCCAATCGATTGAAAAAAATTTATCATAGAACGCAATATCTGAATCTTATTCTTTGATAATGATTTTTTTTAAAACGTTTGTGTTATTGAAGAAACTGTTTCTGACCGAGAGACAGAATATAGGCCAGGACACGCTCGGGATGCCGATCCCGAGTGACGTGGTTCGCGTTGCGTCGTGTCGTCGCATGGCGATCATGCATGATGATGCATTTCGCAATTATGGCGACCGACCAAGGTGAGAGTTATTATCACCGTCACCGGAACGAACGAGCGCCGTTAACGATCAAATTCCAAAGGCCGTAATTCCGGGAGCGAGCACGCGCGCATACACTCACACTCACTCAACATACTCAGACATATATGTGCATATTCGGGAGGGCATAGAGCGCTTGATATCTTCCAAATTCTCTGTCCCACCCCACCTATCAATCTCAGCAATTTGTCGATTGATCGAAGCCTGACCATTTCTCACGTTTTCCTTCCTCTGGCTATACTGCACGTCGCTCTTGCACGCGCAAGCTCTTCAATTACGTTGATCTCTTCGTAGTATATATATGGTAGAACTCTGAAGTCCGCAAAGAGTGCGCTTTCATTGATACGAACGACGACGAGGACACATCTTCGATCTTCTCGAGCTATCGTTTTTCAAGATGATGGTTTTTAGAGTTCTAGATTCGTAGTACAATATTTTGACTGCTGTGTTTATTTTTCTAGAATCAATCTGCCAGTAATAACTTTGTAAAAACGAATAACACGATGAGCTACTGTTGAAAAAAGTGATAGCTCTTGAAAAATATTTGAAAATGTTTATTTTCTGTTTAACTTTAATTCAAAGAACATTTTTGAAAGAGATTTCATTTTTTTCACATTTCTTTATCTTTCTAAAATACCTGCATCTGGAAATCCTGAATCATATGCTCGTGTGTTGGTCTTCATCAGGTAACCAACACAACGGTATATACGTTGTGTGTGTTGCAGGATTAGCACTAAAACTTAGATCAAAGGATTGCTCTATGAATCTAGCAACTCTACCTCTGACGAGATGGAAATTTGACCGCCATATTTACCCGCTCACCGCTATAATGGTTTCCAGTTTGGTCTGGTTTAGAAACTCTATAACAAGAATCGGATCAAAGACTTTGAATGCTCTACGGTTCCATTGCCTAACGAGATCAAAATCGTATCATCGTCAGTCGTTCCTCCTTCCATCCGCTTACTCCGTTAATTAATGTTATTGTTCAAAGTTACATGTATATATCAATTGCAGAGAGGGGTGAAAATAACAGATACGTTACTGAAGCGATGAAAGGGTGGTTTACATCGATTAGGTGTAGCACAGATATGGTTTTGTACAATATAATAGACACGTTCATGTATTATGTTGTAATACACACACATATGTATTTATGCGCGGAGGTCTCCGCGCTTCGTATTGTATATGTGTGTATTTACGTATATATAATATATGTATATATACGTTTACGTTTATAGCGGAGTGGAGCGTAGTGAAAGACATAGGCGAGGCGAAGCTTCATCCCTTTCTTTATTTTTCCGATTCAAGAGACCACGGACCTTTTTCGAACTACTTTGTTGTCGTTAACATGATCGCAAAACGAGCCTGCAAAATATATGGCGGCGATTTTCGCGAGCAAGTCTCACTACTCAAAGGAATTCTTCGCTCGAGTATCCCTCGAGATTCCATTTGGATGAGCTATGCGCGGTGAAACCCTGAAGAGTTTCGTTCGTGTCTCATAGCAGCGAGTAGAAGAGCCATCCATTTTCTATGAACTTTTTACATGACCGCAGAGGGACTCGGCACAAGTCGAGAATAAATAGAACTATTTTAACTTGGAAATTGAAACTCATAAGCTTAATATTTATTTACTGTAATTATAGCTTGTAAAATAACTTGTTTGCGTCAAAGAATTTTGTTAAATTTTATCTAACAAACAGCTTAAATGGCTTAAATGTTGTTTATGTTAGGAGTTTTAATATAGCGAAAAGAAAATTTATCATTTTCGGAAATATATGCTATTTTTAAATCACAAAATTTAAGTTCATAGAATTTATTCTAAATAAAATTTATATTTTTTTTGTATATATCTCTATTTTTTTAACTTGTATGATTGTGTGGAAAAAGATATTAATTGTTGTTTTAATGTTATTACGATAAACAGGCAAAAGTATACCTTTTCTTTCATTATTTAATTATTGTTAGAGAGACGAAGCAACAAAAAATTTAATATAAGATGATAAGAGGATTCAGTTTGCGAAACTATCTTATCTAAGTTGCTAATTTTGAATCCCTCTGCGGCATAAAAGCGCAACATACAACGCAAAAAGTTCATAAAAATAGCGAGAGATCAGGCTCCCTGCTTTTCCTCATTAGACGACAAAATCGATCGCTACGCCACGTGTTTGCTGCGTCACTGGCTGAAGAAGCATGAATTAAAAATAATCACACGCGCGCCACAACTTTATTATTGATACGAAATTAGCGGTCATATCGACGGTTCCGTACGTTTCCCGTGGTGACTTATCCCGCCGCCACGCAACAAGAAAGAAACGGACATCACTATGATGAAGCAAGGGAGTACAGGGGTAGCGAATACAGCGCAGATACGAGATCAAACACGATGAACGATCAGCGATAGCGATCGAACGAAAGATCGCACCCGATTGAACGTGGTCCCGTCTCTTGAATCAGACGTATGCTCGGACTATCTGCTGGATGTTAGATTGGTCCATAGACCGACTTACTCAGTGGCTTTCGCAAAGGGCATTCCAATGAAGGTAGGGCTCAGTGTCTCGGTGTACATCTCCATTCCAGTTCCACGCAGGTAGTCATTCTGCCAATCCTGCATATCGGGCGACTGGTACCAATCAACCAACCATTTCTAAATCACACACGCTCCTATGCATGTACGGATTGTGCGCGTATGTCCACAGTGAGATGCTCGTGCCCGATTACTTCCGGTTGTGACGCAACGTGACATGATACGAATCTCAAGTCACTTCCGCGAATCGCGTGACGATGAAAGGCGCGCAAATGAATAACGATTTACACGATTTGCGAATCACGAGGTAGGAGTTATCGGAAAGAATTTTGTCAATGATAATGTCGAACGATTTATCATTTTGTAGCTAAGAAATTTGTATGCTCAAATCGCAGAATCGACAGGATTTCGCGGAAAAAAACGTTGATGATGTAAGATTTCTTTTATATACCCGATCACTGTGAACAGTTCAGTCGTAACAAAGACCTATACGAGGAGTTGCGTTCAGACATGCATAGATTAGATTGGCAGGTGCACTGCCGGAGAACGACGTTTTACTGACCGTCTTAAAGGATCGCATCGCGAAGAGATTCGCCATCATTGTGCTGAATCCAGGCGCGAGGCAGGACTGCGCGATGAAACCCAGTTTCAATTCGGCCAGGCATATGACGTCGTCACCTTGCTTCCAGTCCCATGATGGAATGTTTAATAAGTAGGCCTAAAACACAATACGGTACACAAGATAAGAATTATTGTTAATAAAAACGTATCATTGTTGCAAAAAATATATTTGATTCTTGTACATACAACTTTGGAAAGCTTAACATCAATTTGTATCCTTGCTTTATATAAATCGCATTTCGTTTGAAGTTAACTTATAGCCGAGCTTTTTTTTCGATCGTTCGACAATGGTTACCTTGTTGTGATACTGCATTAATTGAATGATAACGCGAATGTCATCTGAATAATTCTTGATGGAGATGACGCGCATGATGTTCGCCGCGTCTTCCGCGTCCGGGTCCTGGCAGTACTTGTTCGCCAGTACCAAACACGCGTCCGCCTCGTGTACCTAAAAAGCATGGAGATAATCCGTTTCATGCCGTCCGTTGCTTCGTTTTGTAATCGATTAATAGATGGGAAAAATGTATATTGGGCAGGACGTTGGTCTTAAAGCGATAGCAAAATAGAATAGAAGTTGCTCCACGAACGTATATTTGAAATCGGTGTAATAAGTAATTTTAGATTTTTCAATAGATAATGTTATTATTTATTAGTATATTCATTTGTAGAATATATATGCAGGCATTTTAAAAAAAATTATGACTACTGTGAACTTGGTATTAATACTAAAATGCAAAATAAGATACCTTAGATATTTAAAGATATTTTTTAAATTTTAATAAATACTGTAATTAACTCAAAATTTAATTCTTTGAACGCCTACAAAAATCACCTCGCATTGTTTCTTCGCCAAATTTCAGAAAATGAAAATAGAGTTATGAAAAGACGACAGAAAATCATAAATTAAAATTATGCATATATTGTTCAATAAAGTTACGATAACGTAAAAATGTAATCTTTTCATGTTATTTAAAAAATCCAAAATTACTTATTACGTAATTCAATATAATGGAGCGAAAAAGATAAAATTATCAATTAATTAATTAATAAAATCGTTATAATCAATAAAATTGTGTTGATTTACCAGCAAAGAGAAAAATGACTGTTTGGAACGCGTCGCGATCGTCGAAATTACGGTGAGTGTAAGCTGCTAAATCTACAGATCGTCGATCTCTACGATTATATTTGGAAAGTAATTTTTCTTCTTATATTTATTTGTATAAATTTTTTTTCCAAATTAGAAAAATTTTATATGATGGACACAGAGAGCATCATCGAAAATACAACACATGAAACGGAAAATTCTTCGATATAAGGGATACTATAAAAATATGCATCTACAATAAAAGTCATATAAAAGCATTCAATGAGACAACAATGGCTACAAATATCGAAGATTCGCACGGCTAATATGATTAATCGTTTCACAAAATATGAGATAAATCAAATTAATTGAATTCACAAAAAATCATCAAATCTGAATTGCATCGTGTACATTACTCGATTTAATTGCCAATTATAATTGCGCATCTGACATAGTCTATAATTTTACGATTTATCACTGTCAATAATTTCATGCGCGATGCATTTTATCTAAGAATTTACAATTCTTGAATTACATGAGGTATACTTAGAATATAAATATTTTGATAATGAAAAAATTTGATTTAGTATAAGTATAAAATAAAATTTACAAAAGCAATGAGACATAGAAACGTCTCTGAAATTTCCTTTGTGCGCACCTTCGACACAGCCGTAGAATCGAATAATAATCGAAAATATGAAAGCGATTCTATGGAACATTCCTTGGATGTGCAAACATCATCGATCATTGAGGGGGGGGGGGGGGGGGGGGATTCTATACATCTGAATAATGGAGAAGCGCCTCTATCTACATGCTAAATCTATCGGCTAACAAGATGTTGGCATTAACCTCGATTGTGTAAAAAGAAACTACACAAACAGAGAACATACCGTCCCGTCTTCGTCAGTGCAGGATCGATACACTTAATAGATACCACGATCGACTATCCCACCAGATACTAAGTCTCTAACAGAAACTACCGTCTGGAAAGTAATCGTCTGGTAAACCAGTCTCTCCACGAGAAATACACGGGCACTTACCCACTCGGGTTGACAGCAGGCATGGGTCTATCCAGTGGATGCAATACAACCTTAAAGGGACTTTTTTCACGTGGGTATGCATAAAAGTGTCTCCGTGTGTGTACGTGTCTATGTGTTGGGAGAAATTGACGTTGCTTTCCTCTCGGATTTGCTGCCGGGTATGTATTGATAGAAATATGGGATGAGATAGATAGATAGAAAGATAGATATAGATTGATAAACAAATAGACAGAGGGCTCTATTAGACCGGGACGACGTTATTGAGGCGAATACGTGGGGCTGAATATCGGGTTTTTGATCGTGGGCGCTCTCAGATCTGCATCCCCGATTGTTTTATATAAAACCTCGCGGATAAAATTGATCGAATCTGAGACCAGCTATTGCAAATTGACGAGACACGAAAGCGGACGACAGTATACGAAGACGCGCCGGTCGGGTATTATGGTGTAACATCGTCAATGTGTACGAGCATAAAGGGAAACATACAGGCAACAAACATCCTGGAACAATAGCGTTTGTTATCCGCACAACGTCATTTCCCGAACGTCTACCGATCGCCCACGGTAGCAGCTGTAACATCGCTACTTTCACGCTATCGATTTTTCCAACGAACGAGACTCGAGCAAATTACGATCTGCTTACATCGTTTGCAAACATCGTCGTTTCAAACTTTCGCGAATCTGCACATGTAAATAAAAACGGAAATGACATATGCGATACATATTATAAATATTTATTTCGAACGTCTCTAATAATACTTGAAATTTCGACTAAACGTTGTTCTCTTGTTAGAATACGTATGTTACAAGACAAGGGGTTTGTTCGCGTCGCATGCTCCAACATGTTCCAATATGCTCCTACTATACTCTTACTCACTCCAACGCGCTTGATAGAGGAGCTATGGTAGGAGCATGTTGGAGTATGTTGGAGCTTGCGACGCGAACAAACCTAAGATAAATTTGGAGACACAAGAAAATCTTTAGTAAAACACAAAACAATCAACAACAGGTTCAGATTAATACAATGAGATTTCAGAACATTCTAAATTGTTTAAAATAAGAAGCGTTAATTATTCTTTTCTAAGCGTTAATTACGCGACAATAAAGCGCTGGTACCGTGCGCGCCAAGTTATGACGATCCGATGGGTCACAGGACGTCAAACATATAATAGAAAAGGAAAATAGAAATATAGTAAGAGTATGGACCGTTATATGTAACAGGATAGAGCTGTTTAAGTATATATATATAGGGGTTTAATGCGCATATCTTGTATCGAGGACATAGATTGTTCGATCGTGGTAACAAACTCACCTTAACCCGCTGTAGATCAATCGGGTTCATGATGGTCCCCTGAAAGAACTCCACGGTGGTGAAGTGCCGCTTGAACAGTCCTTCCAGTTCGAGATCAGGCGGTTTCCTGAACGGATCCGACAAAATGATATGATTTCTTTTATAAATAACATTCACCTCAGCTGTCGACGGTCGCGTCCTTTTTTGCGAGAATATCGGTCGAGTAGGCCGACAGAGGAGTCGGCGAAGATTTCGTTAGAACGTGAATGTAATACAAATTTGTTATGCATGCCCGTAACTTTTGAGGGAAAGCCACGTATTGGATTGTTTTCGATTCGTTTAAGTCATCTTGATGATTTCCATTTTAATTAAGCCGAATGCACGGCAGATTGAACAAACTGTGGATTCATCCTCAAAGGGAACGAGTATGCTGGTATATAATAATAAATCTCTAAGTAAAAAATCTCTACTGCAGCTGAGTCGGCTCCATAGCTCAATACAGCATACCATGCAGTCGCAGGCGGTTGCTTTGCTACGTAAATATATATATGTATATGTATATATAGATACGTATGTATATCTTTCGTCGTCCGGTGCCGCGTCGTTTTTGCATTCACAGGGTATACTCGAAAGGCCTCACTTTATATGATCATATTGCAAGCTCCAATATAGTAAACTTGAACAATCATCGGAGTCTCACGCGGAAAACCGCAGGAAAATGTGTTCCAACGAAGCGAACTGGTGTTTTTAGTCATGCCGCACCGGACGTTTCGATAGTTCATGAAAGAAAGAAGAAAGAGAGAAAGAGAGCGAAAATCGAGAGAGAAAAAGAGTGAAAGAAAGTAAATCTAAAGAATATGTAGCGAGCATTTCGTGTGATTCGCGAGCGTATGCGTACGCACGAATCACTAGATATGAGAGATTCTATAAAAAGTAACGATAGCAATTATATATAGTATATTAACATGAGACTGCATGACGTGTGACATAAATATATATGTATGTAAATATAGATATATAATATATATATGCATAAGAGATACATAAGTATATATATATCGATCGACCATCACGGCGTGTTATACCCAGGCGAATAACCGTGTAATAACCTAAAGAACTGCAAGGAAACAAGAAGCACGAGCGGCCACGTGGAGGGCATTGATGGAGGGTTGGTTGGTTGATGGAGGTTTTCGTGTGGTGGTTGTTCTAGGGTTCAGGGTACCTTGACGCGCTCCAGATCCACGGCATTCATCATGGTGCCCTGAAAAAACTCCACGGTCGTGTAATGCCTCTTCAGGAGACCCTCCAATTCGAGATCCGGCTCTTTCCTGAAAGAAAGCAAACCACTCCTTACGACTATAGCGATCAGACTGCACGGGCAACCGTGGAACGCGGAACCTTTTCGCTTATCCTTCACGCTACTGGACAATCCGATCCCTTGATGGAGAATTTTTGTTTGTAATTTGAAACCTCTCTTGCTAGAATATAACGAAGTTTTACGGTCGATAAAACGCGGAGCTAATGGAGTCTGATCACTTTAAGTCGCTTGGCGACGGAAAATCTCTCGAAGGACGACGTATACTCACCACAAAGTCGCCAACAGAAAATAAAATGGTATTTTATATATATATATATATATATATGAAAGAAATAAAAAACAAAGTTAAAAATGTTTCAGAGACTCGGATGTTGTAATCAATAAATAATAGTTTGGTTTATGTATGAATAAACAATGGTATATTATTACCGGAATAAAATGCATAAAATTATTTCCTGTAAAAATGTAAATAGAGTATATTGTGTGTGTGTTATTGCATTTAATAGAATATTGTCAAATAACATATCAATGACCGCCGTTTGCACACGCATTAACAGATGATACATAAAACTGATAAATGATACAAAATGATCAGATGAGCGATAAATTTTATAAAACATGTTTACGCCAGGTGATAACCCTTTCGAAACTACCCACGAGATTAATCGTGACACGAGATATACAATCCAGTAATGTCGAAAGGGTTAATGTCGCATTTGACGCGAGCCGGCAAAAATATCAGTTTTACAAAAGCAGCGGTCATACCTATGCAAGAAGACAACTTCTACGTCGACGTCCTCGCGATCCTCATGTAGGAAATCCTTGAGGAAGTGCGAGACCGATTCGTAGGTGATGTGGCCGCACACGACAATATGTCTGCCAACACAATGAGCAAATTAGAAGACATTCTTAAAGAGACGGTATTGATGGATGATATAGGAAAAGAAAGGGAAATTCTCTCAAGCAACTACCATATACACGCTCTAAAGTAGTATATGTATGTCAACTACAGACCCAATTACTCAAGTTGTTCTCTCTCTTGCTGCAACTTTTGTTCACTTTAATCTGTTCTTTCTGCTGAATAAACTTTTTCAAAACAAATGCATATTCATCACTATGTCTTCCAATATAGGTATATATATATATATATATATATGTATTTATAAAGACAGATAAGCAAAAATAGCGAAACAAGAAGAGAGAGAAGAACAATGATATTGATGAAAAATTATTTTTTCACTTTGTGCCATTTTAGTCTGCTGCCACAGTAAAATCTTTGTTAGAAGTTATTCCATTAATTATATTTACCGATACACGATATAGCTTAAAAAGAAGAAATAAAACATAAATTTACATTAATAAGCATTATTTTTAAAAATATAATACTTAATGAAATCCATCGTAAGATCGATAAACGAGCTCATTTTACAAAATTAAGATGGTCATAAAAAAAAAGTAATTAAAAAATAATAAAAATTACTTGGCACTGAAATAACGCATACTCTGTTTGAAAGAGTCACGCGCATAGTTATTAAAAATAAGTAATAAATCAGTGGGCTAAACTTACCAATATTGCGCTAGGAATTGGAGTGATTTATTTTAACCAGTTAACTATACACATACCTATGTGATAAATTAGTACCGCTAGATATATAATGTACATACACAAGTCAATGCTAATAAGTGTTAGATCAAATACGCACGGGTATACAAGCTCATTCATGTGTTAGTCGTCGGTATGTATGTTAAGAACAAAATTCTCTTCTACGTGTGTAATTTCTACGTGCTGTGTATACATATCGATAATGAGAGACGTATTCCTACTTCTATAAGTGTCACATAACAAGTAAAACCAATTTGTAAGTGGTGCCCAAAGATAATCAACGAACTCGCAAAGGAAAAATAGCGAAGTTCGACCATGATCATTCCATGCTTTATGTCATCTACTCGGTGATGTTTGACATTTGGCTTTATCATGAACTCAGTAGTCTTCCCGTATCGCGCGATTTCTGTTATCATTTATGGGCCACGCGATAGGTGCTACTGGATTCAATGCAAGCCCGATAATACTCGAGCAGAATTACTGGTTACTTTTGCTATAAACGTAAAGGGGACCGACGCCGTGTGCGTATCGAGATGTGAGCGTGTGTCGTGGGTATGAGCTGTTGCAAGTCGTTCTTGTGTATCGATCGCATGTCCAATTGGTGATCAAGTGGAAGTAACGCGGATTTATCGAAAATTGAACGCGCTCGTCGTATCTCGGATTGCCCACGTGAGAAAAATCAGATGCTCATACGTGTTCATACAATGAAAATCGGATTCCCGTGAGTCTTTTGACGTGACGTGAAATTATTCACACAAGAGTGATTGCTGCGATCGTTCCGTTATTGGAGCATGTCTTTATGTAATCAGAACGTTTAATTTATTAAACACGCTTGCGGTGCCATTAGGTGAAGTTGATCCAGAATCATTAAACCATAGTATCTGATGGCCAGTATCAACGAAACATCGATAAAAAACGCAGCACGGATGACACACGCCGTGAAGGACGGCTAAAAATGTCAACAGTAATTTTCGCGAGGCATTTATCATCATGACAAAGCTCTTCTAGGTTATTACTATCGTATGTTCGCGGATTCGCGTATATCGTTCATCGATATAGACAAACGTCATCACGTATTTGGATCAGGTGCTCGAATGATGCGATCAGCAGCGTGTTATTGTCGTGTAGCTTCTTCTTATGAAAGCCACACTTGCACTAGTTGTGAATGACAGTTGAACCGAAAAACTCTGAATTGTCCCTGATCTACGTTGTTCATTTCGGCCCACCGAGGATGTCCTCAACCAGAATCCCTGAGCTACATATGAGACCAGCAATCTCAATAACATATACATATTTATTTAGGCAGTATATTCTTCTCCAATTTACCCTCTTTAAGGTTTACCGATACGCAAAAATGATCATTAATACTGTCTAAAACACCAAGATTATTACACTGAAGTGGTACAACATTAGATTTTATATATATACATATATTATATGTATATATATATATATATAATATATGCATTCAATGGTTCGGATAATACAGGGTACATGCTGGACGTTTAACCCCTTGCACTCGGAGAGAAATACAGCTCGACATATCAAAGTGTGCGGTTCGTTTAATAATAATAATAATAAGATCGTTCGACCGTGATGCTCCAACGTATATTGAATAATTAACTCAAGACTCGTGCGAATTTCTGCGGCTTGTCAGTGCGACGCACAACTGTGCCTGCTAACCGCAAAGTTGTCACATCCGTTTACAACAGATTGCGTTAAGTGTCGTCTCAATTTAAATTCCCTCGAGAACACGGTTCACGGCTGGCGCAATGATTGCAATATTAATTAATTAAGCAGAAGATTTAAACGAACAAGTTGATCTAGACATGACACCTCTTGTTAAAATCCAATTAAGACTCGCGCGATTTATTTGCAAAACGAAAAACGTAGAACGTTTAATGCAAAATTTTGCGATGATTTTTAATATTATATAAATATCTGGAGACTTTTTTCAGCGAAGAAACTTCTTGTTAATTTTCTCGCGATTTTCGTTTGTTTCACGTTCTACGCTTTATGCGTATGTCAAACTGCGTGACGAGCCGTATTTGTCCCAAGTGCGATCAGTGTGAACAAACAAGCTAACACCAGTTGCTGAGTGTGGTTGGCAGGATGTGATAGTAGATGGGCTGTCTGGTCTGCTGAAGGGAAGGTTTTGCTGGAGTAGGCTGCAGTTCAGGAATGTTTTTGGGGCGGCGGCTGCACTAAGGCCGACTGACAACTAGTGCAATGAGCTGGTACGGAACTGCGGTTTTGCGATGCTAACACTGATCTCTAAATATATAGATACAGATTTAAGGTGAGGATTTATCGAAATTGAGATTTCTTGATGAGGATCGATGTTCATACGTGCTTCTATCGGGAGACTGCATTCACGGGAGGCTGGATCAGAGAGGAATCAAGAAGGAAATCAGAATATTATGTGTGCGCCCGTGTACGTGTATAGAAAAACAAAGGTGTAACAGATAGATGCTAGAGGGGCAAGGTGGAGGTTACATAGTCTTTCGTGTACGGGAGGACATTGTGGGTATAATGGCAGTCGGAACTGGAATTCAAATCGGGGAAGCTAATTGGTTGGTTGTCTCTCACCTGCGACCTCGCTCGTTCTTCAAAGTGCCGCCGTACTTGTTTCGCGTCCCGATCAGGTCAATTATCTCAGGGATACAACTGGCGAATATGGCCTATACCACGTAATAGAACAGAACATAACACTCGCATCAATACACTTGTGTGACAGGGTTGGCAGTAGTTTGCTTTTGCTTTTTTTTACATGTATTTCGGTTGATCGGTCGGTAGATCGATTTTAATTTTTCCGACGTCGTGTCGCGATGTCAGGATGACTAGTAATCATTATATGCTGGTTACACTGTACGTCTTTTCCTTTTTCATTAAAAAAACGATAAGGGAACAAGGGGAAGAGGATATTTGCATTTATAAACGAAATCAGATTTTGGCTCGCGAAATGCGCAACTGCTGTTTGTGCTGTCTGTGCAGAGACACGATCAGTGCTATACTGCCACGTCTCCGAAAATTAATGATGTGTTGGGTACGAAACACATCCATAAAAGGGCAGGGTAGGTAAACTACCTATATTTATAAGTCCTACACACCTATACCTAAGCCTAATGTACACTACATGTGCCGATATGTATCTACCTAATTCACTGAAAGATCTGTTTATATCCATGTTTTTTCATAACGTATAATTTTGTGCACTCAATATATTATAGGTAATCATATATTGTTCTTATTAGGAAAACTAACATCATTTTTACTACAATGTATGATCCGCTTAAAATATCTTTGATTTGTTTTAATACTATCCTTTTTAAGAATTTTTCTTTCCACACACAAATGTATTTATATTATTTATTGTATACAAAAAAGCTATGTCATCATTCGTTTTTTTTAAGAAGTCAAGGAATATTACTCGTTGCTTATTAAATAAATATCGTTTGTAACAAATAAGTTAAAAAATTAGCTCATACGACGATTGTAGAAAGCAAATTTTTAGATCTTCAAACATCAACGCGAATAAATTTATAAATGTTAAATATGTAAATAATGGAAAATTTGATGTAAGCATTTTTACAAATAAATTTTATAAATAAAAAAAGTCCAGAAATTGCCACTAAGAGCATCACGAAACATTTTTTAATACTTTACAATGTTTAATTACAGAGAATAATATTGAAAGCATTACATTTATACAAAATCTGTATTTTATGTTTTAATAATCAAACGAAAAATTTTAACTGATATTCAAAATTGCTTTAATTACGAATTACAATAATTATTTAGATATGTCTTGTGTCAATCTAAATAAATATCAATTATTCAGTTATATTTAATCATAAGTAATTAATTTAAGTCAACCATTGTCAAAATTATAAGATCATTTTCTGAATTCGCGTTACATTTTCTTATTCATAGTCCCTATTTACAACGGAATAAAATGCGGAATTTTTATTAGAAATTTAATTAGTGAGCGGTGTTAGCATCTGGTTAATGTTAATCACTCGTTCACACTAATACAAGATACAATCGACACAAGACATAATAAATGCAAGATTATAACATATATATGTATTTTTGCAAAATCTCGAATGAAATATATGCACATCGTTTTAATCAGGATTAATAATGAATCAATGAAGTTATGCTACAGCACACACATTAATGTCGATCTCTTTCTTCATCCTCTAGAAACGAGCATACGAAACGCGCGCTGTTCGCGTAAATATTGTACGTATATTATAAACGGATACAATGTAAAGCTGTCCCTTTTGAGCGTACTCTCAAATCCTGAAAATTTATTTATAGAAGGAAGTCTATCATCGATAGACTACCCAAAATTAGATATAACATATTACGCTGTATTAATGCATCAAAACATTCGTCTTATTATCTTTTATTGACGAATATCACTTGCGTTACTGCCAAATGGTAACAACAATACTCTTATTATCGGAAGTAAAAGCCAATCGACAATCTGCTGAACGAGAAAAAATCTAATCGCGAGAAGCGGTACGTCTGCGGCAACGAAGTCTGTGAGCGCGTAATTGCATTACAATCATCATTGCGACATGTAAATTAGAACGGTTGAATAGTTCTTGCCGAAAAAGAATGCGATTTTGCGACGGTATTCCTTGAGGCATGAGCCAGTGTCAACCTACGTTTCTGTATGTGTAACATGTATATGGTATGTATATGTATTGTGCTACTCTCATCTCGCGATTTGTGGTAACGCGATAGAAGCGTAATTTGCGACTGAGGCTGACCGAGGAGTGATGTTCCGGGCGGGCGTATATCCCTTTCGTCGATCACCGCGCATCAATGCACATTGTAATGCGTATATGACACGCAGGACGACAATCGCCCGGCCCGTACGTTCTCATCCCCCTTCCTCTTTGCCTCGGTATGCGCCTGCACATGTCGCGAATACGTTACCCGCGTGTCATATGGAATGATGTGAGGTATGCCCGATGTGATCCCAAGCTAGACTACCTGCGTGCCCGCAATAGGAATCATGAGTTGGCGCTTCACGGCGAACGACGGGGAAGACGAAACCGTAGATCCGATCAATTTTTCATTCGCGCGTCCCGGTCAAAAGGTCATAGACGCGCTATTCCGTTGCACGTCCGCTCGATATTTTTACCGTACCGGCGACAATAAAATCCGTTATCTCGGACAAGGTGGCATAATTGAGTCCACACGTACGCTACCGTATCGTTTGTATGTATATCGTATCGCTCCTGCAAGTGAGTCAAACTGAATTGAAAGAAATTTACGAAATTGAATTTACTGAATTGAATTTACTGAAATTTACGAAGTTGAATACACTACGGAAATAGAAATTGAAGTTTTCACATTTTCAGATTGGTTCCTATTTTCTATTATTATTGTTAACACCATATAGAACACTTATTCACCTCAAAAATGATGCGACTAAAAAATCGTGATATTTTTACCACAAATGAGTTAAACAAACATTATTAATCGTTAAAAATAAACTAATTTGATTTTATAAAAAATGTAACTAAAAAAGATGGATTTTAAAAATGGATTGAGAAACGAAAATGACAAAAATGATATTTCATCATGTTAAGAATATATTCTTTTTGCCAATATTATTTGATTAGTCAATAACTTTCTGTAAAATTAAAAAATAATGTTTTCCCTTTTCTGATAGGATACCTAATTTTTTAGTTGTGTCACTTTTGAAGTAAGAGAGCGATGTAATTAAATATTGCGATAAAAACCGTTCGTATTGCTTGTTAATGTTTAAAAGCTTCGTCAAGTGAATTTGTAGGATCATTTTAATTAGAATCTCAAGAAAATATACCATCAAATATTTTGTTTAATTTTAATTGGAAGTAATAGAAATTATCTTCACCGGGTTACATCGCTCTGCGCCGCAAATGAATATAGCGTTGTGTGTCGCAGTTAGACGTGCACAACTTCTACTGATAGAACCCCTAAAAAAACAGCGGCTGTATGTACCTACGTCTGCACCTGCTACTGCGCTATTTTAAATGTCAAAAACCGTGTATGTGTTTGTATATTAAGCCAAAAGGAAATATCGCAATTGAACCGGAGACGACCGCTCTCCTCGCTCACGCATCGAACGAGAGAGGGTTGTTCTCCCTCTCTAAAGGCCATTCCGTATTAGGGGATCGATCGCCTTTCGACAATCTACAGACTAACCAGAACACTATCGCATGCCACCAAAGAAACTCAATGTGGAAGAGAGTGTGGAATAGATAGATGGGTAAATAGATAGATAGACAGAAAGAGGAAGAACGAGAAAGAAACTAATAGAGAAAGAGAAAAAAGAGAGGTATCCACGATTTACTCTCTCTCTGGGAAAGGAATTTAACCGAGCGTGATTGAATTTCCTTCGCTCATATAGGAAAAGTAGTATATTGCTCCCGTCTCGTTATAACGTCGCGTTGATGATTTATTTTGAAGATATTAAATACAGTCTTATATGCCGAGGAATATCAACATCATCAGCAACTCGCTGCTTCACAGCTGCTTCCACGTATTTTAATCATTCGGCATTTACGGTAAATTGTTGGAAGATCTGTGACATGTATTCAATACGTGATGCTGCATAAAAACAATTATATCCCTTAAGGGATGATTCACTCTAGATAGCATAAATGAATGTTTTGCTCGTTTATCAAGCAAATGTTACTGCGTACATAACTAAATCTAGATAGATGTTCAACTAACAGAAAAGCATGTTTTGTAAAAAAAATGTCAATACAGACTTTACTGGATAAAAATCAAAAAGAAATATATAATGTCACGTCGCTGCGCGAGTTAATAAAATATTTTAAAATCTATTTCACTGCGCGCGTGAACTTTATAAATAAGAAAATAATTGTTTGAACAAGGCAAACGAGTTTGTCTTTTGTTCCGCAATTTAACTAATGATATTATAATCAGGGTTGGTAAATACACTAATGTTTTTTTTTTTTAAGAATAAAACGTACTGTGTTTCTTCTTAAATATGTTTTTAATGCTTCAAATATGTTTTAAACAGTACTATAAAAAAACATATTTAAAACATATTAAAAACATCAATTTAGCATATTTTAAACTGTATCTATAAAACACGTTTAAAACATGTTTTTTACCAACCCTGATTATAATGCATACACAGAATATTGAACGAAAGAAAAAAGATATGTGTAATATAATACACGTACATACAATATTCTAATACCAATTGCCTGACAGACAAAAAGCTAAAATTGTCTGCATTGACATGTAGCTCGAGCATTTTACGGTCGACTAGCTGTCATATGTTGATACCAACATCATCCACGCGTGCAGAAAACGATAACGTCATTATAGTTGACATTCATCGTCGATGTTGTTCGTATAATGCAGTATACGTGTAATGTGAAAATAAATAAAATGGCGCGACCGTGTCGACGTGCGTCCGCTAGCTAATCTACACGGTAACTAGATTACCGAGATACATTATGCACGCGATGTAAGTCAGCTCTTCATACTCAACCACTCCAACCTACCTCTAATTTCGTTGTAACGGAAAGCAAACCCGTGCGCCCGATGCGAAAAATATGTACATATCGTTAAGCGCCACAGTGGAGGAGAAAAAGGTGATACATAATGTATAAAAGCAAAGATAACTATTTTAGTAAAGATA